TTTAACTGGTGTTCATGATAAAAAAAAATTAGGACACAGATGTACACAGAGCAAAGACCAAGGGAAGACACTGGAGGAAGACAAGCCAGGAAGACAGACCTTAGAAGAAACTAACTCTGTGCACTGTGAGTAAACAGATTTCTGTGGGCTGAGCCCCCCTAACTGTGGTGTTGTTACATCAGCCCTAGCAAACTACATACCACACAATACTTCAAGCAGTCTTTAGGACCCAATGACACCTACACAAGCATGGAGAGAACACACAAAAATATCTACTCGTAACATTTACAGTTAAATGCATAGTAAGCTTTGATATTGGTCATTATATAAGAAAAATAAGACTATAAGCATAACTCCTATGAAAAGACTTTTCAGAAACAGAAAAAATAAGAAATCAAACATGGTACATTGTCTTAACAGACAATGGAAGAAAATTCACTTCAGGTAACAAAAATAAATGAACAAAATTAACGTCAGGTAATGAAAATAAAATTTTTTAGCAACTGCTTCACAAACAAATGGAAGAAAATGTGGACTGTGGAATAATAGGTGAAAGATAAGATGAAAACACAAATGTCCTCCCAAAGTTAACACTTTGCTTTATTGACTCAAAGACTAACAGTGTTTTTCATCCTGACATTTCTGTGACTCACTTTCAGGGTCCTCGTTCCTTAAACCTCCTTTTCCTGAAAGTCAAGCAAGTTTGACTTTACAGCAACTGAGAACTGTCTTATCAATCACCTGCTAATTCCTTTTCTATTTTCATTACTACTCCATGTAGGTAATTATGATAAAAAGGAAACATTTGTAATTTGTATAAAAAGGGGATCTAATTTTAAATAAACTTTGCTAGGTTGTTCTAGATTAGAAACTAAGTGATATTATCAATTAGTTTTTATATTTCTATTATGAAGTATAAAACTGGACAGGTTCACAAAATGGATGACATTGAAAGTTATTACTACAGGAATATGTGACTAAAAACAGTTTTCCATAGGTGAAAGACTGGCAACATAAAAATTCCATTACACTTTACAGAAACCCATTGACTCAGTCATATTTTAGTTAATTTGGTTTTCTTTTTTGTCTTCTCAGCACCTGGAACTTGTATAATTTTGTTAACCAGTGTCACTGCAATAAATTCAATAAACAGAGAAAAAAGAAGAAAATAATAAATAAAAAGGATAAAATATCAGAACATTAAAATGAGAACATCAAGAGTTGGTAACTTATTTAACTCCATATATTTTTATGCTTACATATTATATATTTCTATTAATGTATTAATTAAGAGTTAAGGACATAAAAATTTAGGTTAGACTGTTTACAAAGAGTATTATTAAATATTTTGAACTCCAAGAACTCACAACGAAGAGAAAAAGTCTTGTATTAGTGCATTTCTATCTATTTTAAGCAACAGAAATCTGAAATGGTTTCTATTCTTACTCTGAAATGTAAATGCTTTATTGCTAATGGAATACAGCTGATATGTGTGATCCAAAAACCAATAAAACTATCAGACAACTGAGTCAGAAATTTAAATATATTTTGCTTAATAAACAATATACCTCTATTAATCTTGGAAAGGAGAAGGCAGATATTTATTTTTAAAGAAATTCTGTTCATGAACCAAATAAATGTCATTATTTCTTTACTTAGAAATGTGGAACACCATAAAGCATGGCAGAATGAACCCCTGTTACTATTACAGATGAAACAATTTTTATTAACTGGATATTACAAGTACATAGGAAAGCTGTTTAGCTTTTAATATGTATTTTATAAATAGCCACTTTACTGGACACTCTAATTTTCTAGTTGATTTTCTTGGGTTTTAACAATGGATAAACATTTTACCTATAAATAATTATAATTTTGGTTTTTTTTCAGTCTGTCAGTTATATTCCATTTGTTTTCCTTGTCTTATAGGAACCATTATTTTACCTATAAATAATGATAATTTTGTATTTTCTTTTCAGTCTGTCAGTTATATTCCATTTGTTTTCCTTGTCTTATAGCTCAAGCTAGCACTTTTAAAAGAATGAAAATGAGAATCGTATCAACAACAGGTGTCCAGATAACTCTTTAAAAGAACACCTCTAACATAGTACAACTATGGTTATTAATGGTTTGAATATAGTTTTTGCCATTAAAAAATATTTTACAATATTCAATTTGCCAATATTTTATGAAGGATTTTAGTTTCTACATCTACATTAATGTAAGCTAAGATTTACTAAGTGCTTACAAAATGCCAGTCAAAATTCTAAACAGTCTAAATGTATTAAACCATGACAACTCTCTAACACAAGTACTCATTTTACATGAGGAAGATGAAGCACAGAAGAGTTAAGTAGCTTTTCCAAGATTACTCGGTTAGTAAGTAATGAATCTGAGAACACATGTAAACAGAGGACTAATAATCAGTATCTTCTTACATGTTATTTTTTATGGGTTTGGACAGCAAGTGTATGTTCTTTGCATAAAATGAAATGTGAAGCTGTCGATTTTTTTCTTGTTTATTGAGCTATAATTTATATACTATATATGATTTTAAGTGTACAATTCAATGGCTTTACAATCAATACTCACAATCAGTTTTTTTATTCTTATTGTTGTTCAAGCACAGTGTTCTGTCTTTTACTTCCACCTCTCCCCACTACCCCAGCCTTCCCCACCTCCCACCCCTGTTTCCACCCCCCTTGTTATTGTCCATGTGTCCTTTATAGTTGTTCTGGAAACAGTTTCTAGAACACAGGAACTACATTTTTTTAAAACTTTTAATAATCAAACCCATAATCTTATGGGTTTCGAACTGAATTCTACTTAACGTTAAATTTTAGACCTATTTTTCTTCTTGTGTGTTCGTCTCATATTTTTGTTTATTGTTTGCATGGACTCTGGTAACATAGTTCACATGCATTCAACTATTTTGGATAGGGCCTAACCATTTACCTAGATGCCAAGGGGCCACAAATAATAGTCACAGGGTGGAGGCTGGCTATTCCAGAAAAATTAACCATGTGCTTTGGGATGAGAGACCCTGGGTCATGTGGTATCAGTCAAACTGGAGACTTGAGTTCATGTGGCAATCAATCAATCATGCCTAGGTAATGAATTCCCAATACATACTCAGAACATTGGAGCACATATCAGCCTCGCACTTCAGCGTTGGAAGATAATGTGTCTTGACTTCACAAAGAGAGGAAAATAGAAGCTTCCCATTTAGAGCCTTCCAAGACTCTGCCCTATACATCACTTCCCTTGGCTGATTTTCATATGCCTCCTGTCCTTATAATACAACTTAACTGTAATTACAGTAACTTTCACTGAGACCTGTGAGTCCTTCCAGCCTTATAAAGTCTGGAGAGTACTTGGGGAAACCCCAAACTTGCAATTGGTGCCAGAAGTGAGGGCAGTCTCGGGACTGTGTGCTCAAACTTTGTGGTTTGGCTAACTTCAGGTATTGCTAAACTATCTAAAGGAATAAATAACTCTCTTTTCAGAATGAAAACTCTGGCTAAGCATTTATAATACATTTTTACCATTACATTTCTTAAAAATGATTTTAGAATAAAGTAAGTTATAAGTAGATAGCAGAAATATAATTAGAGACTAAGAGCATATTGGAACTGCCAGAGAAATGGTTTGCTAACTGTCCTTAATGGTTTCTCAAATATCCCTGTCAAAGCATTTAATGAGTGCTGAAACTAGTTATACATGTATCTCCTCTTCTACGTTCTGAGTGTCCTGCTGGCAAGATCTTGTTTACTCCGATATTATCCAGCCTTCACTGAGGCCTTGAGAGATAGTGGGTGCTCATTATTTATCTAACTCAAGTAAATCTATATAATCTAATTCAATTAAAATCTACAAAGCACTTTGAAGAGTTTCAGGAAGCCTCTCAGGCTAAAAAGATATTCTCCAGTGACCTGTCAAAGAGTTAAAATTCCACCACTCAACTTTTCCCCCTAATATCTCAACAGTCTGCTCGCTGGTAGTAAAAAATATATATATATCTAGAAATAACACATAACACTTTAGCAACAGATCCATTTAAATTATCATAATATTTTCTAATTTTGCACCTCATAAACTTGGAAATAAGTATGTGCCAGACATGTTTAATAGAAAAAGAATTTTAAAAGCTAGATTTACAGAAAAGCAAAGGAAGAAATTCGATGGTGGATAGACGGGTGTGCAGGTGGAGGCAGGCTGATATGGAGTGGAATAACATAAAAGCAGTAAGCACCAAAGAGGGAGGAATACTCAATGGACATAATGTGACAAAATGTAAGAGAATTGAAAATTTGGCAATTTTAGGACCCATTTTTCAGGAGATAAAATATTTCATATAATTAATACAACCTATCAAACCAACAGTCCAGTGTTATGGGTCATTAGTGCACAATTTTCTGTATATCCACATTAATGAATGAATCCTTTATAAATGAATTTTATATAAAGGTTAAATAAGCATTCATGTATACAAAGAAAGTTAAACATAAAAAGAACATAAAAACTGTTCCAAATTACTATTATAACATATAAAGGGGCAAAAACTATATTTTGGCCCTGGCCAGGTAGCTCAGTTGGTTTAGAGCATCATCCCAGGACACTAGGGTTGTGGGTTCAATCTCTGGTCAGAGCACATACAAGAAGTAATCAACGAATGCATAAATAAGCAGAAATCGATGTTTCTATCTCTCTATCCCTCAAATCAATAAATAAAATAAAATTATATCTAAAATATACACTCTATAGAATAATGGTATAGATACTCACCAAAGAATAATAAACAATAAATAAGCTGGTAGAAGATTATGACATTATAAAGAAGAAAAATGAAAACAGAAAATAATTTCCTTATAAGAGTTGGGGAAGAGGGAGAACCACCCAAAAAATAATGTCTTTTATGAGGTTCCTGGAATAAGCTCAAAATAAAAGAATCCTACTTTTTATAAAAGGTGAATAACTTTCTTGGATACTTAATTTGTTACCTCATTTTCTGTTCCCACGTCCAGAGTGACAGGCAGACATTCTTGAGGATTCATCCCTCCACACGCTGTATACAGAGCCAATTTGCCCACGGGGATTCCCATTCCATTACAGCCAAGGTCTCCCAAGCCAAGAATACGTTCTCCATCAGTCACCACAATAGCCTAGAAGAAAAAGAAAAAACATCTATTAATAGATGTTTGCAAATCCTGGGCACAGTTCCTTGTCTCTATTTCTAAAGTTAATACTTTCTTAATGAAATACTAACCCTCAAAACACTAATACTAACCTTCAAAGAAATTGAATATATACAGAAAACATTTTATGTGATTGTGTATGTGGGAGAGTGGGGAGAATAAATAAATTTGATATATACAATTTATATTTTTTTAAAATAAATGTATGATTAATTTGGTTGACAAAAAAGAAGAGAGGGTATGCACATAAAGATTTTTTCTCCATTTACAACCACTTAGTTTTAAATTATATTTTATTGTTTATGCTGTTACAGCTGTCCTCACTTTTTCCCCCTTTGCCCACCTGAACCTAGTCCCACTCACTCCCTCAGGCCATCCCTATATCGCTCTCTGTGTCCATGGCTTATGCATATATGTTCTTTGGCTAATCCCTCCACCTTCTTTCATACAGTTCCCCTCTCCCCTCTTACAGCTGTCAGTGTGTTCCACATATCTATGGCCCTATTTTGCTCATTAGTTTATTTTGTTCATTTGATTCTGCATATAAGTGAAATCATATGGTATTTGTCTTTCACTGACTGACTCACTTCATTCAGCATAATAGTCTCCAGGTGCATCCAGGCTGTCACAAAAGATAAGCGGTCCCTCTTTTTTACTGCCACATAGTATTCTATTACATAAATGCAATACAGCTTTTTTATCCACTCATCAACTGATGGGTACTTATGGTGTTTCCAGATCTGGGCTATTATAAATAGTGCTGCTATGAACATTGGGGTGCATACATTCTTTTGAACTTGTATTTTGGGATTCTTAAGATATATTTCCATAAGTGAAATCATTGGATCAAAAAGAAGTTCCATTTTTAATTTTCTGAGGAAACCCCATACTGTTTTCTACAATGGCTGCACCAGTCTGCATTCCCACCAACAGTGCACAAGGGTTCCCTTTTCTCCACATTGTCTCCAGCACTTGTTGTTTGTTGATGTATTGATGGTAGCCATTCTGGCAAGTAAAGGTGATATCTCATTGCGGTTTTAATTTGCACCTCTCAGATGATTAGTGATGTTGAACATTTCTGGACAAAGGAGGCATGAGTACACAATGTAGTAAAGAAAGTCTCTTCAATAAATAGTGTTGGGAGAACTGGATTGATACATGCAAAAAAATGAAACTAGACCACCAACTTAAACCACACACAAAGATAAACCCAAAAGGGATAAAAAAAAAAGACTTAAATGTAAATTGCAAAACCACAAAAATCCTGGAAGAAAACATAGGCGATAAAATTTCAGATTATCCCACATAGCAATATTTTTGCCAATACATCCCCTAGGGCAAGGAAAACAAAAAAATAAACAAATGGGACTATATTGAATTAAAAAGCTTCTGCACAGCTGAAGAACCCATCATCAAAATTTAAAGGAATTTCATTGTCTGAGAGAACATAGTTGCCAATGATAATCTGATAATGGTTTAAATACCATAATATATAATGAACTTATACAACTCAAAACCAGGAAGACAAACAATCCAATTAAAAAGGGGGAGTGGAGAAGGGTAAATGCAGACAACTGTAACTGAACAACAATAAAATACTTTTTAAAAAAATGGGCAAAAGACTTGAATAGACACTTCTCCAAGGAGGACATACAGAGGGTCCAGAGGCATATGAAAAGATGCTCAGCATCACTAGCCATCACAGAAATGCAAATTAAAACCACAATGAGATACCACCTCACACCAGTCAAAATGGCCATCATGAACAAATCAACAAACAGCAAGTGCTGGAGAAGTTGTACAGAAAAGAGAATCCTAGTGCACTGCTGGTGGGATTGCAGACTGATATAGCCACTGTGGAAAACAAAATGGAATTTCCTCAGAAAACTAAAAATGGAACTGCCTTTTGACCCAGAAATTCTACTGCTGGGATTATACCCTAAGAGTCCTTGAAACACCAATCCAAAAGAATCTACGCACCCCAATGTTCATAACAGCACAATTTACAATAGCCAAGTGCTGAAAACAACCTAAGTGCCCATCAGCAAATGAGTGGATCAAAAAACTGTGGTACATTTACACAATGGAATTCTATGCAGCAGAGAGAAAGAAGGAGCTTATACCCTTTGCCACAGCATGGATGGAACTGGAGAGCATTATGCTAAGTGAAATAAGCCAGGCGGTGAGGGACAAATATCATATGATCTCACCTTTAACTGGAACATAATCAAAAGAAAAAAGCAAACAAAATATAACCAGAGACATTGAAATTAAGAACAATCTAACAATAGCCAGAGGGGAGGAGGAAGGGGACAGTAGAGAGAAGGGTTTTCAGGAACTACTATAAAGGACACATGGACAAAAGAACTAAGGGGGAGGGTGGAAGCAAGGGAAGAAGGTGGGTTTGCCTGGGGGGAGGGGGAGGAGTAGGGAGAAAATGCAGACAACCATAATTGAACAACAATAAAGTAATTTAAAAAATAGTCATATACGCAATTTATCACTAAATTAACATTACCTTCTTTTTGTTTTTAACTACTTTCTGTCACACTTAAGGAAAATAAAGCAATTTCACTTATATGTAGAATCTAAAAAATGAAACAAATAAACAAAACAAAAACAAATTCATAGATACATAGAACATTTTCATGGTTGTCAGCTGAAAGAGGGGCCAGGAAGCTGGGTTATAAAGGGGAGAAGATTAGGATGTAAAAATTGCCAGTTATAAACACGGTCACAGGGATGTAGGATACAGCACAGGGAATATAGTACTGGACTTATCAGGGTGATCATTTCATAAGTTACATAGTCTACTACATTGCAGAACTCAAACTAATATAATTTTGCATGTCAACTGTAAATTTAAAAAAAGATTAAATAAAGCAATTGTATGTTTTCTGTATAATAATTAAGTCACAACATCAGGATTACCTCAGTCAGACAACCACAATTCCATCAGTGATGTCTGTTCTTAAAAATTAAATCTTCATCCTGCTGTACCAATTATTACGTGGACACTACCTGATAAAACCTTCTGTATAACACATGCAGGAGTTCTCCTGGACACACACACACACACACACACACACACATGCCCCACTCTCTGACCTGTCTTCATTTGTTCCTTTCTTTTCCCAGGGCCTACGCTTCTGTTGTAGCCACCTATGTGCAGAATTCTTGCCTACTTCTCCTCTCTTTCTGATGAGCCTTACTCAAATATAACAGTCTATTTTTTCAAGTCTAAATCCCTCTTTATGAATTTCAAGACCTTTTATAATAATTTTATCACCTCTTAAGCAATCTTAATTACACTCCATTTCAATATTAATAATTATCTTTAGTTGGGTCAGCCAATTTACTTATTGCACAAGACCATATAATTCTCTTCCTGAGCTTGATACCGACTTTCATATGTGCCCTTCTTAGGGGAGTATATTATTCTCTTTCTAATTATCAAAGGCTAGATTTAAGTTACAACTTGGCTAGAAAAATTTCTTTACTGTTATAGCCTAGTAGCCTTATTTGTTTCATTTTTTAGATTCTACATATAAGTGAAATTGCTTTATTTTCCTTAAGTGTGACAGAAAGTAGTTAAAAACAAAAAGAAGGTAATGTTAATTTAGTGATAAATTGCGTATATGACTATTTTTTATATTACTGTTACTATAGATAAATTGTGTATATGACTATTTCTTAAATTTACTGTTATAGCCTCTCTGAATGATAGTATCCTCTGAGTAAATGAACATAGTGATAAAATTTATACCAGATAGTTTAATTATATATTGTCTAATAACTGACTGTCATTGTCTCACATGTGTTTTCAACTACACAGTCGAGACTGTGTCTTATTTTTCACTACTGTATTACAATAAGCAGCTGCCATTTATTAAGTTCTTGCTATGTGCTAGCCACTATGCTAGGCTTCTAAATTATAGTACGTATAATTAGGATCAAGAATATCAGTGAGGGCCTAATATTAAGAGATGAGAGGATAAAAGCAGGCTATTAATAAAGTTAATCAGCTAGTAGGAAGAACATAAAGCAAGGCACAGATTACTGCCTAGCCATTAGGATTAGAGGAATATTAATTAGAACTCTCTACTCCAGAACTATTTCCCATATTACTCAATTCTTAATGTCCTCTCTAGAGTACTGATTAAATGTTAACTGTCCTTAGGGGATCAGACATTTATACTTTATAGAATTAACACATTTTTGGGGGTTGTTCCTAAGAACTGGACCTGTGGACAGTGCAGACTATAGAGTGGAAGAAAAATTTAGTAAGCAACTTAGGTGGGAGAAAAAAGAGAAAAACCTGGGAAGACTGAAAAGAGTACAAAACATTTTGTTTTACAAGTTTGCCTGGCATGAGCCTTCAACAACAGAGTGAGCCGATTCTAGTCCCAGCTGCTCAAAGGAGAAAGGTCATTAATGGAGTGACACTTCAGAAGTCACAGCTACAGTACCTTTGTACCACTAAAAGGCATCAATTCATTCAATCTCAATCCTAAAAGATACCACAAAGTTGCTAAGCACCTAACAGAAAGAGGAAAGGGGCGAAGGAGGGGACAAGTACATCTCACTTTCTTCAGACAAGGCAGGTAGTGTACCACCGGCCCTGAGGCCTGCATTCACCGCCCACCACCGCCTCACACTGCCATAGCCCACTGTCAGGATGCACCTTCCTTCCTCACTGAATATCATGATAATTACAAGAGCTAATCCAAGTACCGTGTCTCAGAAAGAAAGCTACAAAAAGTCATGTTATGTCATTACTTTATTTTCATTAGTTCACTCACAGAGGGGAGTCAGAAGAGCTACCTCAGGTCACAATGATAAAGGAAATTAACAGAGTTTTTGATTCCTCTTATTAAATGATTAATATGAAAATGGAGGTACGCTTAAAGAAATTCATTCACCATTGCAGCATTTATTCAACATTTATCATCACTTACAATGAATAAAATAAATACTAAGAAATTACTGGAAGATCGAAAAAATGAGGAAACGGTATCTAAATGGTATCAAAATAAAATTAATCCACTATGTAAAAATCAAAGGAATATAAATTAGGTGAAATTCACTAGAAAAGCTAGTGAACACTATTTAATTACATTCATAATAATTGGCAATATATTACCAGGAAGGAAAAATAACAAATGTGCCACAGTAGAAAAATTTGATAACTTACCTTGACGACATCTTCTGGCCACACATTAAGAATTGAAGCAATATGCCCTCTATCATGGATACTAATAAAAAGACCTCTGACAGAAAAAAAAGGTAGTTTTAATTTACTTCAGATTTGTCAAACTATCATGAACATTCAAAAAAACTTTCAAATTAGTTTGATGTATCTCCATTTTTATCAAACTAGTGAAAATAATTCCCTTAGGCAAGTAAGGGACAGAAATCTTATAAATAAGGAAGAAATTACTTTAAACAATATAGTGACATCTACAATAAGTACATTCATTCTGGCATTACACATTCTTAAGTATTTTTAAGTAAAGAAACATTTATTATTTTATATACAGAGAATTTAAATAGCATTATTAATCCCACTTATAGATTCATCTACAATCTTTCATTAAACAACATGTATAAAAGCCCTCTGAAGAACAACACAAAGCACATGCAAACAAGCGCTTCTCAGTGTCTAACCCATTCATTAAACAGTCATCACGTGGAGATGAGTGTGTGTTGCCAGCAGCTGCAGTGACTGATAATGCTGAGCAGTCTTCTCATGTGGGACGCACCTGATTCTTTGGCGTGTGGTCTCAGTTACTGTTTGCAATGCTGTTACTTAGATTCTCAACTGAAGTTTTTAACACTTCTTGCCCCCAAGCCCCCCAGTTTCTATTAAAGCCTAACAAGTAACTTCAAAAATTAAGATAAATTTTTTTAAATTTCTCAAACTCACATAAAAGTTTTACTTTAGTATTGTTAAACATATCTCCACTCCATATGACAAATGTATTGCAGCTTAATGAATTGTTATAGGGCAAACCACACCCTTGTAAATAATATTCACTGAAGCAGAGAAAATCTTGGCAGCTACCCAGAAGCCCTCTATATGTTTCCTCCCAATCAAAACTCTTCTCTCTCAAGAGCAACATAAAAGTCTCCGGCCTTTTAATGGTATCATCTCCTTAGTTTACATAGTTTGATCATCCAAAAAATAAACCATCCCTATATGCTACTGTTTGTCTGTAAAGTTTCCCCAAATCTGGATTTTGCTGATTGCATCCATACAGATTAACATATTAACCTTTACTTTGTTTTTCTTGGAAAATTGGTAATTGAATCTAAAGGCTTAATCAGATTTTTTTTTTTACAAGACACGTCATGGTTTGGTCTTATTAGAAGATGCATAATATCTTGTATTCCTTTTTGTGATTTTAGCAGCTGCTAGTACATATTATCTAAATTCATTAATTCAAAATGGTGATGTTCCAATTCTATCATCATTCATTAGCAGGAACATTCTTTTTTTAAAATTAAATTTACTCAGGTTACATTGGTTAATAAAATTATATAGGTTTCAAGTGTACAATTCTGAGTCACATGATCTGTACACTGTACTGTGTGCCCACTGGGGATAGTGAAGGGTCAAGCAGGTCAAACATATATGGTGACTGGAGAAGACTTGACTTTGGATGGAATGATTCTTTAAAGAAAAATTTCACCATAACTATTGTTTGATTAACCTGTGGTACAGTTTATATTAAAAAAGGATAAGTGCTTGCTTCTTTCCTTTTTTATAAAAGAACGTGTTTGCTAGAATCCTTCAAGAGTTCCCACTAAGAAGTGTGTGTGAGAGAGAGAAAGTGTGTGTGTGAGTGTATGTGTGTGTTGGATCAATATGAGCTCATGGATTTAAACATATTTTGTCTTAATCCATTAGTTATTTTCTTTATTGAAAACTCAAACTGTCCCAGTTTTTAGCTAGTAGAAGACTCCTTACATTGACCCCTGAGCCCTTTTAACATGACTATAGAGTTCTTTGATAACTTTCTTGTTCTCTGTTATGACAAGGTATTCTACCTCTTCTTGAAAATGTTTGCCCCAAGCCATTTCTCTAAGAAGCCCTGGCTTCTTTTAGTAGAAAGTGGTGCTTCAAGACTAAAATCTAGATATTAAGGATCCCCACTACTAGTAGTAGCTGATCTAGGTATTGTTATTTAAAAAATTATGGAACAAAGTTAAAATTCACTTTCTATTTGTGGCTGCAAATCTCAATCTGGCACTCTATACAGCTTATCACTATGATTTCCTAGCAAATTCAACTTAGCACTCCCAGAGAGGACCCTTTCACACCTCTGCACCCCTCACCTCTCCTTCACCTATCTCTCTCTCACTCTCAGTTGATAACCAAATCTTAAATCGCATACAGAGAAAGATGCATGAGTGAAAATTACCTCATCTTTCTAATATAAACTTCATTAACCCACCTGCATCTTTTCTTCTAAATAAACCTTATTTTTTTAGAGTAGTTTCAGGTTCACAGCAAAACTGAAAGGACAGTACAAACACTTCCTATGTACTCCCTGCCCCCACACATGTACAATCCCCTCCATTACCAACGTCCCCCACCAGAGAGGTATATTTGTTATAGCTGATGAACCTTCACTGACACCTCATTATCACCCAGAGCACACTGTTTAACATTAGGGTTCACTCTTTGTGTTGTACATTCTATGGGTTTGGACAAATTTATAATGACATGCTCTATAAACATTAGTGTGCATGTTTTTGTGTGGACATAATTTTTCAATTCATTTGGGTAAATACAGCAGAACCTCAAATAACATTGTTTAGTTCAACACGGATGAGAAAAAAATCAATTCCCAGACAGGGCCGCTGTCTGTGTGGCGTTTACGTGTTCTCCCCATGTTTGCATGAGTTTTTTCAAGGCACTCAGGTTTCCTCCCACATCCCAAAGATGTGCACAGCTAGGTGAACTGGTGTGTCTGAATTGTCCTGGTCTGAGTGAATGTAGGTGTGGGTGTCCTGTGATGGAAAGGTGTCCTGTCCAGGGTAGGTCCCACCTTGTGCCCTGCAATGTTGGGAGCAGCTCAGGCACCCCTTGACCTTGAACTAGAATAAGCAGGTTGGAAATAATTATCTTAATTCGCCTTCAGTCTTTCTTAAATGTATATATTCACATTTATTTCCATGTTTAATATTAGAAATGTTCGGGATCTTTATTTAGAAGTCTGATGATGTTTTCGTGACCAGAAATATGCCTACCGGTTTCATTATACAATGTGTCACTTACAGTCGCAATTTCTGAGAACCTATCCACGACTTACTGCACCAGGAGTGCAACTACTAGATCATATGCTAAGAGTGTGTTTAGTTTTGTGTGAACCCACTGATTGTCTTCCAAAGGGGCCATACCATTTCACATTCCCACAAGCACTGAATGAGCATTCCATTTGCTCCATAACCTTGTCATCATTTGGTGTTGCCAATGTTCTAGACTTTGGTCATTCTAATAAGTGTGTTGTGGTATCTTACTGTTGTTTTAGTTTGAATTTCCCTGATCACACACAGTGTGAGGCATCTGTTCATATGCTTATTTGCCATCTGTATATGTATATTCTTTGGTGAGGTGCCTGTTAGTCTTTGGCTCATTTTTTAAAATTGGGTTGCTTTTCTTTTGTTAAATTTTAAGATTTCTTTGTATATTTTGGATAATAATCCCTTATAATACATGTATTTTGCAAATATTTTCTCCCAGTATATGGCTTGTCTTTTCATTTCCTTGATAGTCTCTTTTGTAGAGAAAAAAAAATTTAATTTTAATAAAGTCCAATTTAGCCATTACTTCTTTCATGGATTGGGCCCTTGGTGTTGTATGTAAAAAGTCATTACCATGCCCAAGGTCATCTAGCTTTTCTTCTACATTATCTTCTAGGAGCTTTACAGTTTCGTGTTTTACATTTAGAATTGTGATCCATTTTCAGTTCATTTTGGGGAAGGATATAAAGTCTGTCTAGATTCATCTTTCTGCATGTGGATATCCAGTTGTTCTAGCACTGTATGTTGAAAAGATGATCTTTTCTCCATTGTACTGCCTCAGCATTTTTTTTTACATTCTCTGCCTTTCTTCCTATTATAATGGAAAAAATTCCTAATCAAGGCCATCTTCTCACTTGTGCTCTGAATCCTGTCCCACATTAGCTTCTGAAAGGCTTCATTTCTTCAATTATTCCATCTCAATGCTACACTATCAGTTTCACCAGTAAATCAGTCTAATTTAGGTATAACAACCTGCACTAATATTATCCATCTTTTGAGACTAGATTTTGTCCCCTACCTTCCTCTTTCATAGCAAAACCCTGCAAAGATTTGTGTATTCCCATTGTTTTTATTTCTTTACCCCCTTTCTCTCTTCAATTTATTAATAAGGCACTTTAACACAGAAAAAAAAATAAAACCCTCCAGCCTAGAGCACTCCTTGAGCTCCAAACCATAAATGTGACCACCTACTTAATTTTTTCATCATAGGCTTCAACTCAAACCTTTGTTCCTCAGACAGGCTTTCTCTGATGACAGCAGTGGAAGCACCTCTACCCTAAAACTTTTGTCATCTGAATAATACTCATAAGTATCTGAAATTATCTTATTGATAGTTCCATACATTTACTCTCTCTTCCCTGCCACCACCTCCGCCCCCCAGGACACATACACATAAAGCAGCAGGTTCTCTCAGTGCGGAAAGTCTCTGTCTACCCCGTGTTTACCCTAATGTGCACTGGCACACTGCGAGTGTCCAGCACTGAGCATTCCCTCACAGATCCGAATAAGGCTCCTGCAGTCCATGCCTGTGAGTATAGAAACAGTGAAATAAACCCAGACTTCTATTGACTTATTAAGCAACCAAAAATTACATGATGACAGTAAGTGCTACAGGCAGATTACTGATGACTGTCTGACTCAACAAAAACATTAATTTACCAAGTTGGCACTAAATTATATCATTTCCTGGTTTTTTTCACTGTTTCATATGAATTTATTTTGTTTCTTAAAAATGATTATAAGTTATATACTTCTTTTGGATCTCTGTTATATCCAACCATGCAATTAACAAGATCTCAATAAATAATTGTAAAATTAGAATACACTGTAATTTGAGCTTTTTAAAATAAGGCATTTTTGTTGAATTATCTAAGATGTTCTTGGCAGTGTAACATTAAATAATATTTCTTGGTATCTTGTTTGTTAGCCAAGGTTTTTTAAGTGTTACTTAGAAACAGTA